CAAGCTGCGATGTCAAAGAAATCTCCATGTCGCACATCTGATTAACAGTCCGTCCCGGCAAAGCCAAGTCTCTGGGCAAAGCAAAACACAGCTACACGGCTGTACACGGATAGTAGCCGTACACGGCTACTTTCCAAGGCCAGGGCACTGATTTTCTCCTCATTTCCCCTCCCAAATGCACATTCTCTGATGCAGGGAGCTCAGCTGTGTCCCTGCACCAAGCTGAGTCCCTCCAGGCCGCGCCAGCTTCTTTCTGGGCACGCAGACACAACAAGAACACGGGAGAAATATTTAAAGAACAAACACTGATAGGGGATTGAAACACTGATATGGACAGAATTCGAGAGCTGAGAAAGTCCCACCAACACCATCCAGAGCTTGGGGTACCCCGGGGACAAGGCCATGAGGAAACGGGTCCCATGGAGGCCTCCCTCCCCTCAGGACGAGGCTTCGCTCCACAGGCCTGAGGGGACGCGGCCCCTGGCGCAGCTCCTCACTCCCCACCGCCCTCCCGTGTGGGGAAAAGGCTCTTACCTTGGCTACCTCTGGCCACGGGGCCCGTTTCACCCGGTTCTGCCCCGTTTTGGGGACGAAGGCAGCACGCAGGGAGCAGCAGCAGGGCCACAGCGTGGCGGGACGTGAGGCGGGACGGAAACCCCCGCAGGGCTGCGCTGAGGCGCCGGGGAGGCAGCCGGGCGCTCGAGGAGAGGCACCACAACCAACAGCACCAAGAACCCGAGAACGGAACCACCTGCGCCCGATCCGACCGCACCGCCCCTCCGCCCGAGCAACCAGGGCCGCTCACAAACACACACAGGTGTGAGGAGCCGCTCCCGTTCCCTCTGCTCCCTCCCCCGGAGCCAGGTTGGGATCGCACACGGCCACCATGGCCGGCTCCCCATCCGCAGCCTCGTGCTGCTGCCGCACCGGGAACGTGGCACCAACGCGGCCCATAGGAGCATTGCGAGAGGAATTCACTCCATTAGTGCAGGAATAAAAGCCCCTCTCGGCCCTGTCCCTGTAAAATTCTGCATTTTCAGTCTGGAAACTCAGCAAGCGAGGGAAGGCAGCCTGAGCCCCCTTTGGAGTTTTTTCAAGTACAAGGGATTAAAAGGAAATAGAAAAAAATAATAGAAACGTCAAAAGAAAGACTGTGGCAAATGTGCAAGCCAGCCTCCAAAAAAGCACTTTGAGAAGCTATTTCCAGTAGACAGAGCTGACCTTCCCTTTCAAAATGCCACAGGGTATAAATAGAGCAGGCTCGTGAAATATGCAGCTCCAAAGTCCCTTGCAATTTGTCACAAACGTCGCTGCGTCTCCTCCAAGCGCACCGAAACACAAGGGCACTCTGCTCACCACAGCCACAGCACTAACTGGCCCGAACTGGAGTCGGGATATCTCATTATTTCTGAAAAATCGTTTATCAAAACGCAAAGCAGAGCCTGACCAGGAAAGCAGCCTGACCAAACACCTCTTCCGTAGAGGTACTCACCTTCTGGGCAGCATCGCAGCGTTTCCTCGTCGTCACCAACTGCAAACAGGGAACACCCAAAGAGCTCATGCAAACACATAATCCCTGGTGAACGCAGAAAGGGAGCTATTCCAAAGTAGACAAACATACACGTACACAATTTGAACGCATTCCTGTGCTTTCAGCGGCGAATTACCGCTCACCTTCCTCTCTGCAATGACCACTGCTGTGAAAGGCAGCTCCTGCCGGCTCTTCCAGCTGTGTATGTGAAGAAAGGAACCCCTCTCTTGGAAAACCAGGGATACCTTGGGTATTGGGATATATTCTAGTGTGCTCTTATCCTAATTTCAAGGTTATACTTCATGAGTACCCAGGCCTGATTTTCCTCTATTTTCCAAACCCTTTTGCTTACAAGCTAAATTTTGGAGAGATGGCAGTATGCTGAAACCCAGGGAATTGTCCTCTTTTGGTTCAGAAGATCTTATTTGTCTGTTCTTCTTCAGCTGATGCAATGAGAACTTCTCCACATACTTCATTTTATTTTGACTACTTGCTTGGACTCAGACAGATTAGCAGCAACAATACGTTACCAGCGAACACAGCAAGGCCCCGAAGTCATGACAACCAGAACATTCGTGCACATTTGTTCTTTTCAATTTGACTGTTTAACTATGGAAAAAAAAATACAGAAACTATGCAGCATGAGCCTCAGGCAAGCAGAATACATTCTGGAACTGGACATCATGTTGGTGCTCTACGTGCTGTGTATTAAAATTGAAATAACCTCCAAGGAAAAAATAAGGCCAAGAAAAAGATAGGACAGCCTTAAACCAGACAGGATCACCATGCCGGAACCCCGTATTGCCCCACATGGAAATATTCTTTTCCCCACTAACAACAATCAACAGACACATTTGGCTTGCAGGCAAAACCTGGCTGCTGTAGTGTAGCTTGGTTTTATTTATGTCCACAAATATTTCAAAAAAATTACAAAATACTCAAATGGAGAGAACACAGAAGTCACGATTTCTGGGTTTCTACTCTGTTTACACTGTGTTATCCCATGGCAAACTACTCATATATACATTAAGCTTCAAGATATATATAAATGTAGCAGTCAGAATGTACACTCTGCTTTAACGGTGCAGTGAAACAAGCTCAACCATGACGACATAGAACAACAGAGACGTTTCAAAAACACTAAAGCAAAATTAAAAAATAAATCTTTAAAACAGAGGAAAAAGAAAGAGAGGTTTCCTAAAGAAAAACGAAAGGTCTGGGTTGTTTTAACAAGTGCATTGAACACCAAGATGGTTTCCAAAGCCACTGCCTGAAGGTTGTAGTTAATCACTGCTCTAAAATGGAAGAACCTCAGTGCTTCTTTGCTGAATGCAAACACAGAACAATATTCAAATAATCAGAACGCTTATGTGAAAATTAAACAGGATCAACTAGTAACTTCTGAACACAGACTGCAAAGCAACTTTGAAAAAAAAACATGGAAAGAGAAAACCGTGGGAGGGAATTACTATCTTTTTATAAGAACTATAGATAAAAAATAACAGTGAGAGATGGGTCAGAAGAAAGGTCCCAAATCCCACATGGCAAAAAATGGGAGAAGGAGGATTTTAACTGCAATATGTTAACTATCTCTTTAAAGTAAATCGAGGTGCTCTCTCTGCTGGGCAGGACAAGCTTATTAACGCCTCCAGCAAACATGAAAAATGTTACTCACTGAAAACTATCACCTGTTTCACCTGACGGCTGCAGACAGAGGCTAGAGGCCTCGACTCGAGGCTGACCTCACGGTTTCCAAACCTCAGGAATACTAGCTGTGACCAGCAGACATAGCAGAGGGGACTGATTAAATGCTACTGCAGTTCCTTAGCGCTGAGAAATCTGGAATGGAGGATAGAAAAAAGAGGGAAGGTCAGAACCAAATGAAATAGACCCCTCTCGGTAATGACACTCTAAAAAGGAATACCCTAAATGCAAGCTTTTAATTCATAACGTGATGTTATTAACGGTCCAACAGGGACATTTTGGTGTTAAGAGGCCGACCCTGCGGTGAGGCCCATGCAGCGAATGATTAACGGCAGGTTTATCACACACGGCCTGTCCCGTGACACGACCACCACGTTTAACCGTCCACAACAGCAGAGATAGAGCCCTGGAGTGAAGGGAGATAACGGGGAGGAAGTCATGCACCAGGAGATAACATGGCCAGCAGATTCAGATCTCTGTGGGCTGCACTGCCCTCTGCTCTGGCAAGAAACATGGCAAAACAATACAAAAAAATCTGTTCAGAGTTAGAGCCGTCTACAAAAACGGTGCCCTCTGGCCTTCTGTGTGTGCCTCTCCTTGTACCATCCACGTGGGAACCGAGCCCACACTTGTTCTGCATGGACCTCCCGTTTGGGGAATCAGTAGATGTTACCGTCCACGTGTGTGATTAATCTCAAAGCAGTTAAGTTCCTGAGATCTGGAACTGTGGCAGCAGCTAAAAAGCTTTTGCTTGCGTAAAATGGAACCAAAAAAGCCAAACACAAATAGAGACTGGTCTTTGCAAAGCAACTTTAAAGATACTAAACCAGTTGCCTAGTCCACGTTCAATAAAAATGTATCAAACACAAAAGGCCAGGAAGAGCCAATTCTTCAGAAATATGCACATGTATACAGAATTTTGGCTGTACTAGTTTGAGCCATGGAACATTTTTTTTAAAAGGATTTTAGAAGATCATTTCTTTGCACTTTTGCTGATATTTACTGATTCCATAAGGGATAGTCTAAAACCAATATAGTTAAATTAAGTTTCAAAAGGTAATGGAAAGTATATTACAGCCACATTGAAGATTAACCCTTAAAGTAGACATCAAAATGGTAAGCGAGTCCTAAGGACACCTGTACTGCTGAGAAACCCAACTCAACAAAAATCATCTGCAGAACAGAGAGATGTAACACTACAAAAAAACAAAACAACAAGAGAAAACAAAATAAAACCAAAAACAAAGAACAGAAACAGTCATTTGCAACATTATCCCTGCAACTCCCTTTAATGCTTATTGTTGATACCAAACCAAATTTCAAGCTTTTACCCATTTGAAATTATTGACACCCATCATTCCCTTTAATTAAAGGGATTATTATATATATTTTTTATTAAAAAATCAACTCTGTATTTTGTCAACACCAGGTAGGAATTCACAATTGATGTAACTGAAAATCAAGATAAACGTTTCTGGATTCTTGTTTTGTTTCTCCCCTCTACCCAAAAAGTTATTTACAGACTTAAAAAGCCATGCTGCAGAACTGAGCTTTCTTTAAAATTATGAAGTTTTCCTACAATGTATTAAAATAAAAGTAGATTTTTATTATTATAGCACTTGGATTCAGAGCTTGTTATGTCACCTACTTGCAATCCTTGCTTTTTTTTTTTTTTAAATAGCTATAGATGCATTGAGTGTCTCTTCACGCACAGTGACTTGTATTGTGACCCTGATTCTAGCACCTACTTGAAACAAAGTAATAATAATAATAATAATAAAAAAAACAAGATTGCAGGAAGTTCTCCGAATATTCCACACAGTCCTGTACTTTCAATAAGCTTCTGAATACGTTGTCATGCAGGGAGACCCACACCAGTCTTGAGAAATCTTCTCTACAAATGAACACTATGCTGTTAAGTCTCTACTTGTTGGGTGGTTGTTTCTGTTTTAAATATATAAAGAAATCTTTATAAGATATTCTTTTCCTTTTGTAGCTCTTATTGTATGTAAAAATGTTCCATTCCTTCCCAAGGACCGGGGTTTCCACAGCCAGAATTACAAATAAATAATTTATTACAACTGTTTGTCGCCTTCTTTCTTCAGTCGACTGAAAGAGAAAGAAAAGTCATTTTAACAAACGAAGGAGGTGGCAGGACAGCCCAGTGACTGCCTGTCTTCCCGCTGCCCTTGCCCGGGTGCCCTGAGGGGGCAGAGGGTGGAACAGGAGTTCTGATCATTGAGCACGAAACGGGACCCGCTGCGATAGCCCTGACAGCAGCGTCTGCCACGGAGGGAGGTTGTGACCTTCCTCTGCTGAAACGCTCCTTCATGCGCAGGGGATCACGAGTGCCAGCTCATCAAGACTGACTTTATCTGCACTCACACACAAAATGACCCTCAGCAGCAGGGAGACCCTGCTACAAAGCCAGCTAACAGGTTTGGATGGCAGAAGCAGGGACGGGAACACCAGAGCAGAGCGGGTGTTTCATGCGCGGGGTCTTACAAACCCTCGCTACGTGCGGACACACAGAATTAACCTTTGCTCTGTACTGGGGCTTTTACTTCTGAGCTGACAAATCACCAGTGACCACGGCCAAATAGGAAATAAGGTGCCAGTTAAGGCAGCCCAAGAGAACTGCTCTGCTATAAGCACCGCATAGTGCTCTGGGGAGAAAAACCTCACGGGATCTCCCAGGCCTGCCCGGCTGTCACTGGGAGTTACCCACATATTTCAACCTCCCGTTGCCTTTAGTCATTTTTTCAGATTCACTGGCAGAAAAATCCCTCCCTGCTTCTCATTCATAAAGCTTTTACCCACCCTTCCTCACCTATCTGTCTTGAGGAAGTATGAAAGATGTAGAAGCAGAGATCATTAATGTGTGTGCCACACTAAAAAGCCCCATCAGAGCCCACAGTAAAAGAGGCAATAATTTAGAAGAAACAAAAAGGGAGAGAAAGTGGGAAAAGATGAAGGAAGCTGCAGCACCGTCTCCAAAAGCCTTCGTGGCACCTCTCACCTGTAGTAATCTTCCTGACTCGGTAGATGACCACCATGCATGTGAGGATGCCCGTGCAACCACTGCTGCTCCATTGCCAGTCTCTGCAGCTCTGCTGACTGCGCGTGCATGGCCTGCAGCTGGTGGGCTGCAGACATGGGAGGTGGAATGGCACCGGGCAGGTCTCGAGGGTAGGGGGTACCTACGACACAGTTACACACCTTCACAAAGTGCTTTGGCTCACACCGTACCCTCCCCAAAATGCACACGTGCCAGTCAGCATAACCATGGAGGAATCAGAACTGTGAAGTTACAGCTCAACTGCTCCCCTCCAGCCCCCCTTGCAAGAAATGCTCTGTCCCCAAAGGAAAAAGGAGGGTGGACCGGTCTCCAAAGCGGTTCAAAGACTCACCAAAGACTGGATGCCGGAGCATCTCATGCTCATGAGGTGGCTGCCCT